TTGTGTGAAAGTATTAGTCACTGAGTCATGTCAGTGATCCCATGTTTGTGATCCCATGGACTGTAGCCCACCAGGCTCCTCTGTCCATGGAATTCTACAGGCAAGAATACTGAAGTCAGTAGCCATTCCTTTCTTCAGGGATCTTCCCCTGCCAAGGATAAAACTAGGGTCTCCTGCATTACAGGCAAATACTTTACCATCTGAGACACCAGGGAAGGCCCTCTTACTCAATTAGCTCATGTTATTTCCCACCTATGAGGATAGGGTCAAAAACTGCATCCAAGAAAAGTGGCACTGGCCAGTTATGTTTCTTATGTAAGTCCTGTCAAGGTTTTTTAGGCTTCTAAGTAGTTTGGAAAAAGATGGGCAGAGATAAATCTTATTATGGTCACCTATTGACCCTCTTAAAATTTCACTATATGGCCCAAGTTTCAGTCAAACATGAGAAGTAATTGTGTCCTTGTGCTTGAATCTGACTTGACTAATAATGCCTATCAATATTTTCATGACTCATTTTGAGGCGTGGTCAAAGGTAAATGTCTGAGTCCTGTGCAAATACTATTAATGTCTCAGTACTGGGCAAATAACCAGTCGGTTAAACACACTGAAAGAAGTTTATTCAGCAAAGAAAAAGAGAATCATAGCACAAGTTTCATAGACTGGTTAAATGGAAGCTATTTGTCATACCCTCTAAATCCTTTTGAAGAATTGAGATGATTCTTCCAGCTTTAGTAAAGAAAGTTCAGTAGTAAATTTGGCGTGCATTTCACCTTGCATTTCTTTATCTTGGTTCCCTGTGTAAATATATTCTACTTTGCATGGGTTTACAGATTAATCAGTGTCTCATGGGGCTTCTCTGGTGGCTCAGCAATAAAGAATCTGCCTGCAGTGTAGGAGACCTGGGTTTGATCCCTGGAGGAGAGCATGGCAACCCACTCCAGTATTCTTGTCTGGAGAATCCCATGGACAGAGGAGCCTGGTGGGCTGTAGTCCATAGGGTCACATAGAGTCAGACACAACTAAAGTGACTAAGCAACTGCAGCAGCAAGCGTATAATGACTCCACATTTTGAAATTAAGGATTATACAGTTTATTAATGCTCACTGCATTCTTCTTTCTAATGATTTATTCTTTTCGGTCCTTAATTTACAAATGCTTAAGGATATATACAAATACATCAGTAGGAAAGTAACGGTGGTCACTATAACTCGGATCTTAATCAGTTTCAGAAGTATTTCAGAGAAAACCATGCATAGGGTTTACTCATGTTTACATCTGGTTTCTAATACTGTCAGATGTTTTGTCAGTTAAATTCATTATTACAGACATGTCGAGGAGCTGCTCACATTTTTATTTCACTAATTATTGCAAAAATAATGTAACTACACTAGATTATTTTAAAAGAACAGATCCACTTAATTTGAAATTTCTTTCATAAACATAGTTTGTGTCTGAAGATAATATTAGTCATGGAATATAATTTTTGAACACAAGTTTGCATTCTTATTTGGCATAATCCCTTCATATCTCGCTGCACAGAAAAAGTTAGTGACATAACATGTCTGCGTAAGAAGTGGTGCTTAGATACATGAAAGATTTTTCCTTAATCACTGCTTCTCTTCCTCCTAGTGAGGTTTAGCTCAGCTGTCCCACTCCATCAAAGATTTTGCACTCTCAGAAGTATTTTCTGATAGTTTATAAAACTTCAGTGATCTAACTTACTTCAAAAAGAAAATTATAAGAAACACGGTGGAGAAATTACACTCCATGTTCTCTCTGTATAGTGACATCTACTGGGCTTTAGCTCACAGTGATTTTTAAGCAAGTACCTGCACATTTTATGGAGGTAGAAGCTCATTTCTCCCCAAGTACAAATATCTAGTTATTTGTGATCCAGAGAAATAATTTTCACTTAAACATCAACGTTAGTTCCGGAATTTAACAAGGTTACCTGAAGGTAGTGCTGGAAATATATACCCTTTATGTCTAGATTCGTAAACCTCTATCTGTTGGCATAATTCAAAACAGGCTTCCTCTATACAACTGTGAAATAATTTCTTGTAATTATGTTTTGGGAGTATCCCGGAAGGTAGGGTATTGTATATGAGTGAACGTGGAGAGGTCGACAAAGTTACTGCTTTGGGGACATTAAGGAAGCACAATAGGAAACAATACCCATTAAAAGGATAAACTTCTGCGATGAGACTGTTTTATGTCGACCGGTTTTAGAAAATGTTCTACAGGAAAAGGACGAGACTCAGGCCTTTTAAAACCCCATCTATTTGCCTTAAAAGGATGCTGTGATCCTTTTCTGGCCGAAACTGCTTTGCACTTTGATATTTAAGGCCAAGCTTAATCCTGAATGCCTTCCCAGAGCAGCCGGTAAGAAACAAAAACCTTGGAACACCCTGTAAGTTGCTCACTCCACCGCGGAGTGAGAAAGGAGCAGAGTTGTTTAGTTGGCCCCCTAGCCTGCTGCAGCACATTCCTGGATCTCGAGGGCAGCTCGTCCCGGGGTCGGCCCCGCCCTGGCGGCTGCCTGCCACCCTCCCGCGGGCGCGCTCTGGGTGGGGCCTCGCGGCCGGTGGAGATGCGGCCGAGCGCGCTGGGCGGGTGATGTGAGCTGGCTGGGCGGCGCGCCGGGGCGGCCGGAGCCGCGCGCCGCGTAGCTGTAATCGGACACCCGAGCGCTCGCCCCTTGCGCCGGCCACTTTCCATTCACTCCCGAGTGCTTGATTGAGCGACGCGGAGCACGGCTCCGGGTGCCGCGCCGCTTCAACGCTGAGGATTCCTTTACAAAGGAACTCAGAAGGCAGGAAAGAAAGAATTTCATCGCTGGGACGCCCTAGAAATTACGGTCTTTTGGGGAAAGGGCTAGAAACGAGGAGCCAAACCTGTAGCGCATTGAGGACTTTTCCGCGCTGATCTCTTTCCGCCTCGGTAAGCTGGATTCGTTGTTTTCAGCATTACAAATTTAGCAAAACACAACTTTGGATCTGTGTATAGACTTTTCACACATCCATGCTCTCAAATCTGGACATTTTCTTAAGAGCGCGTGTAGTTTGTCATGGAAGTGTTTCCCTTGCAGAGAGCCTGACTGGAATTGTTTTTTTAGGTTATGACACCTGCGGAGGGTTTAAAGTTGAGTATCCCTGGCTTCTAAGGCAAAATTACTGGAGAGAATTTTATAAGAGGCCTTTTATTACGTGTTATTAGTGTTCAGTCATTACAAGTGAAAACAATAAGCATTGTGTCTTAAGTGTTTGAGTTAAAGGGAAGAAGTCCTAAAATATGAGGGGCGGGGGCATGTATAAGATACTTGACTTTCCCTCACTTCTCATCTCTGGATGGCTTGAAATCACGTTGCTCTTTATACTCACTCCACTTGACCTGTCATTTCATTTCCAATGTTATTTTTTGCAGTTTGTGGCGTATGTTGCTTTCATGGGGACGTATCAGATAAGATATTGATAATAGCAGTAATTTTAAAATGTGTAATTATTAGCCTGCTTAATACAGAGACAAAGGTTAGGCATATTTATATATTTGGGGGGAGTGAAATTTAACTATAAAGTCAACAAAACCAGGGAGCAAATTACTAAGGGAAAATCACCCTATAAAATCGTTTTTCTTTCAAGTTAATTTAGGGATGACAAGGTGAAGAGGTTGTGGAAGCAGGAAGAAAGTGTTTCTTTTGAAAATTACCAACACAAACATCTCTTGGGTTCCCTCCATCTGTGTGGTAAAAGAAGCATAGAATTTTTTTCTACCTCTTATATGTACCACCTAAGAAATCAGTGTAAGTTTTGTTCACAGGGGCATGTTCAGTTTAATTGTTCCTTTGCTTCTGTATTACTGAAGCTTCTTTATTGCTTCTGTACTGTATTACTTTTCAAATTTTAGTGGCATTTCTTTATTGAATAACAATACAGATTTTAATTTTAAAACAATGAGATTTTAATTTTAAAAGCCACATAATATTGAAGATCAGTATTGTTGTAACCTGTAAAAATAGATTAAACTCTGTCATGTCATCTCATTGTATAATTGTGTTAGACTCAAAATGATTTTTTTTTTAATAGTCCTGAGTTTATTTTGCATATTGTGGCTACTGGAGCTCCTATAGATTTGATATTACTCATTACGTGATCTCTAGTGTTCAGACATTAGTTAATAACATGTAACAATTATATAGATATGGTTTAAACAGTAATACCTGTCTTTCTGATTTATCTTTTGAAATTTTGACAGCCCACTTTCTTGTTGATTTATTTTAAAAAAGCGTTGAGGTTCACTGGATTGCTCACCACTAAGTCATTGGTTTGAATTTGGCACAAATTCATGGTTACCTCATCTACATCATTTAACAGCTGTATGGTCATCTGTATAAACTGGCAGATAACTAATTCCAGTGATATAAGTGATCAGGAATTGAGCACTGGTAGATTTTTGTGTAGAAATATCATTTCAGAGATGGTTGCTCCAAAGAGCTAATAAGTGTGTGGAAGTGAAATTTTATGTGAGATTTTTCTACTGCTACTATATTTATGTAGAAAGAGAAGTTTCCATCTGTTAATACCTATTGGCACCATTCTCAAGTCTTTTCAATGTAATGTGTTTTTTTGTTGTTCTTTAAAGAGAATAACAAGTTTAAATATTGGTTTTTCCTTTGGGAATTGACAACATTTTCCTGGCTGCTTTGTTTAATATTTACATTATTTTGCTGGATGATGAAATAACTTCACTTTTAACAGACTTCCAGACACAAATGAAATCAAATCCGAATTTTCACATGTAAGACAGAAAGTCACAGCACCTCCTACTGTTTGCGTAACTCTAAAAGTTCAGATATGTCTTTTGTGAATAAGGTGCTGTATAGATTGCTGGTTTTGTGTGTATGGGTGGGTGTGTGCTCCTAAAATGTGAAGTAAAATATAACAACTTATTATCTTTATTATAAAGGTATTTTCCCTTGGATATTAACTTGCAAATCTGAAGAAATGGCATTCCAGGCAGTTTGCATCTTGGTTGGAGTATTTGTTTGTTCTACCTATGTGAAAGGATCGTCTCAGCCCCAAGCAAGAGTTTACTTAACATTTGATGGTAAGAAAGTTGATAATCTGAGAAAAATGTTGAAGTCTTTTTTTTTTCTTAATCCAGATACAAAAATTAGTAAAGAGAGTAAAATAATAATTGAGTATTGATTAGCATTAGAAAATGTCCACTGGATTGCTTTTTGGATGATGTGGCTGTTTTAAACTATTGATTAACAGACAAAACTCTCTATTTCATTTGTTTATGAAAATGTTTGAAATGGATTCTGCCCTTTTTGAAGTTTCTTCTGTGTTTACATGTACATGCATAAGGAGCTGGTGAAGAATTCAAAGCCTAAGATCTGTAAGCTTAGTGGTCACTGAACTTTGATGAGGAACACCCCTTATGCGGTACTTCTCATCAATAGAAAGAGCTATGCAGCTTTAATTATTGAAATTTTTTCTAATACATTTTGAGCCTTAAACTAAAAACTGGGTCTCTCCATACATTGTTCTAATGGTGTTCTTCTATTTCCATGAGGAGATCCTGAGGTTGGCAAAGTCTCCTAATTAATTGAAAAGGACCTAAAATAATATGTTTTTGATTGCTATTGTATGCAGATGCTCTCTTCAGAAGCTTAGAAAAACAAGTGTGATTTCAAATATTCACGAACATGAAAGGCATGTTAAGGTCCTCTGAGGGAATGGTTTGCCAAATGTGTGCATGAGCTTTAATGTATATAATTCAAAAGACTTGGATGATTTTGGTCATCACGTAACCCAAAATAATTGGACAGATGGAATAAGAGAAGGAAGGTCAGGAAGATCATCTCTTGCCAGTCAGAGTCATTTATATTTTTATTGCTCCTTTCAGCTTTATCTCTGCATAAACGTTAGTGTCACTGGGCATATTTTCATTCATTTGAGAAGCGGTATACTCTCAGGCCTTATATAGCCGTGTGCCTTTGAAACTCTGTTATCTTCCATTTGAAACAGCAGTATGACTGACACTTATGACTCAAATGGCCATCTTTTTTCTTAGTTTCTTAAATCACCAGTGCTTTCCCCAGGATCATCACAAGCACTGAAGGATCCTTATTTGGAACTTAGAGTGTGTGAGCTTCTAATTGTTTCCTTAGCTTCTGAATTAGCCATTCCCCTCAAGAACCCATGGCTATTAAGTTAAGTTGGGAAGAAAAAAGACCTTTTGAAATGTCTTTTTTTTAAAATTACTAACACATCTTACTGGCTGCTTTCACCTCTTCTCCCAGGATGAAAACTGTGAATTGTTGTTGTTGTTTACTCACTAAGTTGACTTTTTTACAACCCCATGGACTATAGCCCACAGGCTCCTCTGTCTGTGAGATTTCCCAGGCAAGAATGCTGAAGTAGGTTGCCATTTCCTTCCCCAGGGGATCTTCCAGACCCAGGGATCGAACCTGCATCTCCTGCATTGCAGGTGGATTCTTTACCACTGAGCCACCAGGGAAGGCCTAGGGCTATGAATTACTTAATCAAGTAAAAAGTAAAGGCATTAAGGAGCAGTGCAATTCCCTCCCTGTTTTCTATATTTCTCTCAGTGTATGGGAAGACGACATGGCAACCCACTCCAGTATTCTTGCCTAGAGAGTTCCGTGGACAGAAGAGCCTGGTGGGCTGCTGTCCACGGGGTCACACAGAGTCGGACACGACTGAAGTGACTTAGAATGCATGCATGCACAGGAAGATGAAGTGATCACATAGATTAGGTATCTAAACCTGCTTTCCATTACACTGAAACTAATTAAAAAGTTTTAAACTGAAACTTGAGTTTGAATATGTAACTGTTAAAAACAAGTTTGTCACTAGAGATAGTTCATCAGGTCTGTTTTTGAAAAGACAGTTACATTTTATCTTTTAAAGAGGAAACTAAGTAATACAGTCTTTTAAAACCAGACTTCAGTATTGTATAGGATAATGACCACTGTCTACAACATGACTGGAAGTTGATGGACTTTTTAAAATACTGCATATCTAAAATTTTAAGGGCTCTGAAATTTTAAAAAGTTCTTATAGAATAAAACTTAATTTATAACATATGCAGAATACAGCATGATTAGATAATTATCTGAAAATCTTATAATTCCTATTTTATTCTTCCCAAGAGTCTTACTTGGAAATAACTAAATAGAATTCACTTAATTTGGATACTGTTTTAAAAAGTTATATCAACAAGGATAATGAAATCCCATGATTTCTAAATTAATAACAAAAAAAACCTCCAAAAATGAACTATGTAATAAGAAAAGTATCTTGAGCAAAACCAGTTGTTTAAAATGTATTAATTTTAATCATTCTGTTCAGTTCAGTCGCTCAGTCGTGTCCGACTCTTTGCGACCCCATGAATCGTAGCACGCCAGGCCTCCCTGTCCATCACCAACTCCCAGAGTTTACTCAAACTCATATCCATCGAGTTGGTGATGCCATCCAGCCATCTCATCCTCTGCCGTCCCCTTCTCCTCCTGCCCCCAATCTCTCCCAGCATCAGGGTCTTTTCCAATGAATCAACTCTTCGCATGAGGTGGCCAAAGTATTGGAGTTTCAGCTTCAGCATCAGTCCTTCCAATGAACACCCAGGACTGATCTCCTTTAGGATGGACTGGTTGGATCTCCTTGTAGTCCAAGGGACTCTCAAGAGTCTTCTCCAACACCACAGTTCAAAAGCATCAATTTTTCAGCGCTCAGATTTCTTCACAGTCCAACTCTCACATCCATGACCACTGGAAAAACCATAGCCTTGACCAGATGGACCTTTGTTGGCAAAGTAATGTCTCTGCTTTTTAATATGCTATCCAGGTTGATCATAGCTTTCCTTCCAAGGAGTAGGCGTCTTTTAATTTCATGGCTGCAGTCACCATCTGCAGTGATTTTGGAGCCCCCCAAAATAAAGTCTGCCACTGTTTCCACTGTCTCCCCATCTATTTCCCATGAGGTGATGGGACCAGATGCCATGATCTTAGTTTTCTGAATGTTGAGCTTTAAGCCAACTTTTTCACTCTCCTCTTTCACTTTCATCAAGAGGCTTTTTAGTTCCTCTTCACTTTCTGTCATAAGGGTGGTGTCATCTGCATATCTGAGGTTATTGCTATTTCTCCCGGCAATCTTGATTCCAGCTTATGCTTCTTCCAGCCCAGCGTTTCTCATGATTTACTCTGCATATAAGTTAAATAGGTCATAATAATTTTCTTGCTGGTTTGATTGTACCTGCTTGAAATCCTGTTTCAAATTTCTTATTACTTAAAGTGTCTCAGTGATTTTATGATTTGTGTGAGTATCACACTGAATAGGTTACTAAAGATATAGAATTTTTGTACAGGGTTGACATATATACTTTCTTTCATTTATTAATATTTTAAAATTTCTGAGTGACCCATTAGAAGAATCCTTTCAGTTTTTTCTTACTGCCCAGTTAAAAACACAGTCAGTTTAAAGGTGTGTGAAGTAAGAGATCTCTTCTCCCATACACATTCTCTCCCTTCTTGTGGTGGTGGAGTGATGGAGTGATAGCATTTGGGAAACAATGACTTACAGATTTGCCTTCCCTATTATCTAGCACAAGGTCAACTGATGGTTGTCACTCCTAGGGGAGAATATACTTCAAGTGTTATTAAATAATTATGTGCACTGGATAAATCTTGGTTAAAAGAACTGTTATTACTATTAGATACTGTGTTTCATAAAATTTTATGCTAAATACCTTTTCAAGTGAATAAAATGTTCGTGCAAATTATTTTTGTTTGAATTGAATTTTTCTTGAAAAAACCCAGTAGTTTATGGATTCATATTTCATAACATTATTGTCATATTCTTTCCAGAAAATCTCTAGGACCAATAAGGTTCATAAGGAAAAGCAAGGCTATGTACATAAATAGACAGAACTTGTTTTGATTGCTAATATTATGTTGAAGTTGTTAATGTTCAGTCACTCAGTCATGTCTGACTCTTTGCAACCCATGGACTGCAGCTCACAAGGTTCCCTGTCCTTCACTATCTCCCAGAGCTTGCTCAAACTCATGTCCATTGAGTCAGTGATTCCATCCAACCATCTTGTCCTCTGTTGTCCCCTTCTCTTCCTGCCTTCTCTCTTTCCCAGCATCATGGTCTTTTCCAGTGAGTCAGCTCTTCACATCAGGTGGCCAAAGTATTAGACCTTCATCTCTAGCATCAATCCTTCCAATGAATATTCAGGGTTGATTTCCTTTAGGATTGATTGCTTTGATCTCCTTGCAGTCCAAGGGACTCTCGAGAGCCTTCTCCAACACCACAGTTCAAAAGCATCAGTTCTTTGGCACTCAGCTTTCTTTATGGTCCAACTCTCACATCCATACATGATTACTGGAAAAACCATAGCTTTGACTCTATGGACCTTTGTTTACAAAGTAACATCTCTGCTTTTTAATATGCTGTCTAAGTTTGTCTTAGATTTTCTTCCAAGGAGCAAGCATGTTGAAGGACGTTCCCTCTATTCCCACATTTAATATTTCTTGTAAATGAATGTTGAATTTTGTCAAATACTTTTTGTGCCTCTGTTGGAGACAATCAGTTCTTCTGGTTTTTCTCCTTCATTTTGATACTGTGGTATATCATGATGATTGTTTTGCAGGTATTGAACCATTGTTACATCCCTAAAATAACTCCCAATTGATTATGGTGCATGCTTCTGTTAAAGTATTGTTGAATTCTGTCTGCTGATGTTTTGTTGAGGATTTTTGTACCTATGTTCACCTGGGATATTGGCCTATAATTTGTGTGTGTGTTCGGTGTCCTTTATGATAGATTTTCATGACTACCCACTCCAGTATTCTTGCCTGGAGAATCCCCTGGACAGGGGAGCCTGGTGGGCTACAGTCCATGGGGTCACAAAGAGTTGGACACTACTGAAGAGACTTAGTATAGCGTAGCATAGCATGCTAGATTTTGGTGTGTTGTATTTCCATTTTCATGTGTCCTAAGATATTTTCTTAAACTTTTTTTTTGATTTCTTCACTGACCAGTTGGTTGTTTAGTTGTTGTTTAGCTGCTAAGTGTTCA